ATGGATGCTATCGCGGAGCTGAGCCTCGAGGACTTCTCGGTGACAGTGGAGCCTGGTGTCACCCGCAAGGCCCTCAACAAGCACCTGCGTGGCACTGGGCTCTGGTTCCCTGTCGGTACTGTGGGCATGAGGGGGGCCATGGGGCTGGGAGTGGCAGCACTGGAGATGCTGCAGATGCTTGTGGGCCTGGCGGTGTTGGGAGTATTGGGGGTGCTGTGGTGTCCGTGGGTGCACTGCAGTGCCAGGCGTGCCCATGGAAGTGCCATGGCCACAGTGCTTCTGGAGATGCCTCTCAATTTGCTGTGGTTGAGGTCCCAGTGGTATCAGTTTGGGAATAAACACAATCCCCTTCCCGTCCCCTGCTCGCAGACCCTGGGGCAGACGCCTCTCTGTGTGGCATGGCAGCCACGGGCGCCTCGGGCACCAACGCAGTGCGCTACGGCACCATGCGCCCCAACGTGCTCAACCTGCGCGTGGTGCTGCCGGACGGGCGCCTGCTCCACACCGCCGGCCCCGGGCGCCAGCCCAGGTGGGCACTGGGGGTCAGGGGGCTGTGCTGGGCTGGCCGTGTGCCACGTGTGTGCCCGCTCACCAGCTCTGTGCAGGAAACGGGCGGCCGGCTACGACCTGACCTCGCTCTTCGTGGGCTCCGAGGGCACTCTGGGCTTCCTGACTCAGGCCACCCTGCGCCTGCACCCGCTGCCTGAGGCCACCGCTGCCACCATCGCCTCCTTCCCCAGCGTGGGGGCAGCTGTGGCTTGCACCGTCCAGGTGCTGCAGGCCGCTGTGCCTGTGGCCCGCATCGGTGAGTGCCCAGGGACAGAGGTGGGGTGGGAGGTCCACAGTGCTGGTGGTGGAGCTCAGCTCTGCCTCSTCCCACGCAGAGTTCCTGGATGAGGTGATGGCAGATGCCTGCTGCCGCTTCAGTGGGATGGGGCTGCCAGTGGCGGCCACGCTCCTCCTGGAGCTCCATGGTTCCCGGCACAGCCTGGCTGAGCAGCAGCAGCAGACACGTATGGCTGGGAATAGGGATGAGGAGAGGGTGTCTGGGGCTGGGAGCCATGATGGAGAACCAGGGAGAGGGATGGGTACCCAGGGACATGGGGCAGGGGGGACCATGGGTATTTTGAAGCATGGTGGAGGGCGGGGCATGATGTGGCACTGGGGTGAGGGATGGGTGCCCAGGGCTGGAGACATTGATGATTTGGCGACATTGAGGTCATCAGGATGAGGGAGAGGTGGCCAGAGTCTAGAACTGGGGGAGGGACTGGAGTCATGGGTGGCTGCCTGTGGATAGTGGATGGGGGACTGGTGGTGTCTGGAGGTGAGGGATAGGTGCCCAGGACCAGGGAGAGGGGGACTGGGAAAACACGAGGGTGAGGGATGGGTGTGTGGGCTGGGGGTCTGCTGAGGGGCTCAGGGACAGAGGGGACCAGGGRTGTCACAGGGTGGTGGATGGGGATCCAAGGATAAGGGATAGAGTGACCAGGAGTATTCCAGGGTGAGGGATGGATGCCCAGGATGGGCACTGGAGCTCTTGGGGTGAGGGCTGGGTGCCTGGGGGTGCCGTGGGTCCTGTCCCAGAGCTCCTGGTCACCATCAGAGGAGATCGTGCGACAGAATGGTGGCTCCAGCCTGGCCTGGGCRGAGGGGCAGGAGGAGCGTGAGCAGCTCTGGTCCATGCGCCACAATGCCTGGTACGCTGCCCTGGCCCTGCGGCCCGGCTGCCAGGTGAGGGACAGGCACACGGATGGGGACGATGGCAGCAGTGCCCATGGTGCTGTGAGTGCCACAGCTCTGCCCTCCCTGGCTCAGGGCTACTCCACGGACGTCTGTGTGCCCATCTCCCGCCTGCCTGATGTGGTGGTGGAGACCAAGAAGGACCTGCAGGCCTCCGGCCTCACCGGTCAGCAGGGCCACAGCCCCCTGGGACAGAGGGGGTTGGGGGGTCACTGTCCTCCCCACCACACCCCATCTGACCTGTGGCCTTGCAGCACCCATGGTGGGACATGTGGGTGATGGCAACTTCCACTGCATCATCATCTTGAACTCCCAGGACCCAGAGGAGGTCCAGCGTGTCCACGCCTTCACCCAGCGCCTGGGCAGGTGGGGCTGGAGTGCTCTGTGGGGCTGGGGTTGGATGGACAGACGTCCCCATCCCTGCCCCTCCCTGTTCCACAGGCGGGCRCTGGCGGCGGGGGGCACCTGCACCGGGGAGCACGGCGTGGGGCTGGGCAAGCGGGCACTGCTGCAGGAGGAGCTGGGCCAGGAGGGGCTGGACACCCTGCGCTCCATCAAGGCTGCACTCGACCCCCACAACCTCATGAACCCCGGCAAGGTGCTGTGAAGGGGAGCACCGGCACTGAGCTGGCAGTGGGAGGACCTCACGCCCTGGAGTCAGGGCCAGGGTGGCCATGCTGTCCCACACTGCCACCATCTGTGTCCCCACAAATCCCACCATCCCCACCTCTGGAGGYTGGGGATCCCTAAACCCCCAATAAACCCTTTTGCACTCACAGTGTCCACATGCTGTGATGATTTCTGGGGGGACAAGACCCCTGAGCCCCTTCCCAGGGGACCCCTGTCCCAGAGAGCACACAAAGGGAGAGGCATCACTGGGTTCTCACTGCAGCCCCTTCCCCTGAGCCGCAGTGCTGCTGGGACCAGGTGGGAGCTCTCTGGGACTGTCAAGCACCACTGTGGCCATCCCCACACAGCAGGCACAGGGAGGGGGAATCGGGTGGGTGGATGGCTCCAGCACCCCACTGGCATCATCTGCTTCACCAAGAATGCCAGTGAAATAAAATAACAGTGAATATTTTATTGAACATTGTTTTAATACCATATCAAAACACCTTGACTAATGAAGGAAGCTCCCCCCAAGCTCTGAACTCTTTTTTTCCCCCGGTTTTTTTTTAATATATAAATACAGAAAGGTTTCCCGCAGGGGCACGGCCACCGGCAGGGGAGGTCTCACCAACGAAAACGCGCCCGCCGCGCCAGAAGGGGATGGAGGGGGTCACTGCCATGAAATGACACTGTCTTGGCACCTCCAGCAAAGTCACCCCTGTGACCAGGRGCAGCCAGGGGCATCCGGGGGGCCATTGGGGCCTTCCCCATACCCTCCTCAAAAGGGTCCAACTCAAAGACGATGGAAAAGAAAGAGGGGGGAGGTTTTGGCAAGAGGAACCCGGCGAGGGGGCACGGGAGGGGCGGCGGGGATGCTGCAGCTCTCCAGTCTCTGAGTGGTTATAGCTGAGTTAAAGAGTGACCAGTCTGTAAACATCACCGGGGCAGGGAAGCTCAAATTGAAGAACACGCCAGTCAACACGAAGCTTCAGTTGTGGTTTGTTGTTTGTTTTTTTTTTTTTTTTT